AAAGGATCAGGCCATTGAATGTCTTCTTTAAATCTTCACTGTCAACTAGACACAGCATTAGTCCGTTGTGATTTCAATATCTGTTGTACTTGCTAGACGACCATAGCTTGAGTAGTACAAATATTTGTAAGCCATGATGCTATTGAAACTAATTGTGTCAATATTCCATTGTAGGTTCCATCTAATGAATTCCAGAGACATTTGATGAAAAAGCTATGCATACATTGGGGAGACTGGCAGGAAGCTAGCTGATCATTTCCGGGAACACCTCTCCGATATCGACAAGACACTCAAACCAATCCCTCTTCATTTTAATAGCCCTGACCACAGCGGTAAAGATGACATATCTATCTGTCACAGCATTAAAATCTTGCTCTGGCGATCATACTACCCGCCTCGCTTTGGAAAATCGCCTTATCCACAGCCTTGGCGTTCTTAGTCCAAGTGGTCTCAATATCCAACATACCTTTATCTAAATAGTTCTAATCTTGTCACATTTTAAATGTTAATTATTTTATTTTATTTCATATAATTACTTTATTCTATTTCTTATCAGTATCATTTATACTTGTATTTCTTTTATTCCCAATATTGTGACTATATTTTTAGCCATCGTTTATTTTATATTATTTCATTTATTCCGCATCACAATTGTTTTAAACGTTGCTCACGTCACCCCTTAGAGATCTACATACTCTCCATTCCTCGTTTGTGTATTTCACTTATGTTTGAAAAAGGCTGCTCGGCCGAAACGTTATGTTGTGTTGTTTTGTGCACGTTTTCCTCTTTCCCATTTTGTTGAGCTTTTTAGTCAAATTTCTCTGGAATTCCTTGTATTAGCTTTGCAGTCACCCCCATAGTTTCACCATTTTAGGTTCCATCTGTATGGTAGACTGGGCTTAACCCTTTCAGCCCCAGAAGGTCATAGCTAATATTTGAGACAGCCAAGGCCAACAACGCTAAACTCATGGATGTACTTGGATGTACTGCTCCCACAGGGGTCAAATACCAAATCCATTAAGGAAACATAATTTTGTCTGACGTGTTTTTAAAGAATTCCTCAGTAAACCTCACATATAAAACATAGATAACGGAATGAGTGGTTTACATGAATAATATCCTGTCATACATGGTGCGTTGATTTGGGTAGAAAGAGTTAAGATGACACATTTTTTAAACTAGGGGTGTGGAGAAGGTCATGTGTCGAAGTACATTTGTTTCTGCAATGAGATTCTGTTATCACCCGGAGGTGACAGGCCTGATTCCCAGTAATGTTACTAAAACTTTCATTGTTCATGTTGTTCAGCATGTTCTCCTGTCTGCACTTCTTTCTATGAGTGCCGATAATTACATGTTAATTTGTTTATTATACCATCTTAATAAAGAATGGTAAAGAAATGAAAGACAACTGTTAGTATCAACAGTGAGAAAATAAAGAAGATGACAATATACTGGGCACATATTGAGGTAGCAAGGACCTCCAAGAGAAATCCTATGAAGAACTTACTGAGAAAGGTCAGCAATGTCATACAGTGTATTTTATCCTCCAATGAATTGCTCAGGTTAAAAAGGATGGGGTAATGTTTTTTCTGAAAATTTAAATGCTGCAAAAACATTAATTCAATTCTCAGTTTGGTTTTTTATTAATGACATAGCCTACACTTCTGACACTATACTGTAATACACAGCACCTCATTTGCTCACAAACAATTTCACACGTGAAAGACAACTGCTGCACAATTAGGTGGAATATTGTGGCTTAAGCAACTGGAAATTTAAGAGGATCACAGGTTGAAGATCACTGCTTTATAGAATTTAAAATGACAGAAGATGTGGCAAAGCAGTTGTCAAGTTATTAGCTTACATATCTGTGGTCCAATCCCCTGCAGTGGGAGGTTTTATTTGCCCAGCAGGGCTCTAGAGCTTAGTCTCACTGAACATATTCTCAAGAGACTGCTTTTCATAAGACTAAAAACTGAGAATGCAGCCAGACCATACTGCATAAGAAACTTTTCACAGTAGAATATCTGGGAGGAAGGCGAGAGGAAGACCAAGAAAGAGATGGAAAAATGGTGTAGATGAAACCTGCAAAAAGTTAAACAAATCCATCACTCAAGCTACCTGAGAAGTGCAAGATAAATACAGAAAACAACAACACTGGGCTACAACCTGGTAACAGTGAGATGAAAAAAGGAGAAGACAGACTAAAAACACAACACAATTATTTTTTAGCATTTCACAAATGATTTCACTTGAATACCATAAGTACACAAAATAATTAAAAGTCAATATTTATTATTTTGTTGCACATATCACTTACTTATTTCAGTAATCAGCAATACCTTCATTACATTTTGATCACCTCGTCATCAAGTATGCCAACACATGGGCTGGTCATGAAGCTTTCTGATCATTCCATTCCTGTTGTCTGTCATTGACTGCTCTCTTTAAATCTTTCTATACCAAGCCACTTACTATATGTTCACTGGTTGGTTCCAAGACAACTTTCCTGCTGTCCAGCCCGCTCTAAGGACTGGCATCAAGTGGAAGGTCCTAGATGCGATAGAATCTGCCCAGAATGCACTAAAATTAAAGGAGGTCATTGGTTACACTCAAACCGAGCGTCGAGGCCTAAGACACGGAAAAGTCAGTTGGTGGTTCAAAGCCACAGCCAAAGAGCGCCGAGACATTGTGATACAGCAAATCAGAGATAAGGAAAACGAGGTTAGGGTCCAGAAAGCAGCCCAACAGTCGCAGCAAGGTCAGTGGATCAGCTTAGAGAGCGCTTTGCCACGAGTACTCACATGGGGTGAGATCTGGCGAATGGCCAGCTGCGACTGAGCTTCATCGTACGATCTGCATATGATGTATTACCATCTGGTGTCAACATGGTAAAGTGGAATGCAGCTAAGGACCAGTCATGCCCGCTATGCAGACGCTTGAGCATGTTCTGTCTGTGTGCAGAAAAGCCCTAAAGGCAGGTATACTTGGCGCCACAAGGTGTTGAAAGAGTTAGCAACCGTTGTGGAGCAAGCTAGAATGAGGGCCAATGCGAGGGCCAGTCCTACCGTCATCCCCGTGCGCTTCCTTAAGGCTGGGCAGATTCATAAAGGTAAATTCAACAAAGTCGCAAACGCTCCATCGATGTTAGACTGTGCAAGGGACTGGTTACTGGCGGTTGACCTGCCTGGCCATGAAAAGTACTCTGAATTAATCCGGAAGACTGGCCTGCGACCAGATATGGACAAAAGCCATATGTACAAGCTCAAGAAGTTCAGTTAGCGGCTGGTCTGAGAAGAGATGAAGCGTACACAGTAAGAATCTTCGCCGTCCAGGTAGGAGCAAGAGGTCTCGTTTCCACTTCACTTTACAATGTGATTAAACAACTAGGCTTATGAGGTAATGAACGCAAACGGACACTTAAACAACTGGGCGAGGTTGCTGAGAGGGCCTTGAGCTGGCTCTGGACACAACGGAACGTCGTGGGGGAAGGGCCCCGGTGAGCTGGTGCAGGTGTCTAGTGGAAAAGAATGTTTTATCCCTTAAAATTCATCGTGTCCGAATTGTCTGCCAGTGTCCCTCTGCCACCTGCCAACAAAGTTCAAACATAAGCTTGCCACTTGGTCGTCCAGGTATGCAGACTCCTTTAATTATGCTACCGCAACGACCTCTTATCTCACAGTACCTTTTGCAAAGTCACCAGTTTGTCTTGCCCCTGTCCGATAACATCCGGTAATAGGTGCAGCAGGAGAAACCAACCCTGAGCCTCATGAACTCAGGTGGGCCCACTCTCTGAAAATATCCAAGAGCTCGTGGGCCGAAACATTTGTCGACGAGAGATTACTTCTACTGATGATTGGTAGACTCCTGCTGTACATGCTCCCCTGTGGAGTTTCTTCTTATTCCCCTGTAGGCTGTTACACTAACTGGTTCTAAACAAACTGCAAACAAAAATTGTGTTACTATTTTAATTGTTGCAGACTTTAAAAAAGAACTTTTCAATTTGGAGAGTTCACTGGAAAAAGTGGGAGCCGCGAATGTGTAGCAGCTAGATACTTGCATGCAGACTTACAGATTGTGGGCAGAAATCCACATGCAGCCTGATTTTTTTGTTCAAACATAACCTTAGCCCCCAAGTGGACCCAGCCTTAAATAGCTATCAAGTGAAGCTCTGAGAAGTTAAGGTGGCTGGTGTGATGCTGACCACATCCCCCATGAAGGGCCAACAGTGAAGTTTATACTAGAGACAACACTGTAGCTATAGATCAACTATTTCAATGAATAAAAGAGGAAGTCTACACAAATATTCATCTAGCATGACATACCTGATTCATCACTGGTAGGTAAATGACAATTTGACTGAAAGAATTAAATCCATACATGTATGCATAAATCAATCTCTGTTTGCCTTCTTTATAAACAACCAATTGTGCAATGTTCTCTTTGCCCTAATATTGTGCCATTTGGTTTTCTCGAGGTTTATACTGAGAGAGTTGAGTGGGTGGGGGCATGATAAATGCTTAAGTCATGAGAATACCCTCTACTGTTTTAACAATTTCAGTAATACTGTTTGTTCTGTTGTATTTTCTGAAAATTATTTAAAGCAATGTTTCCCCTCTATAAATGTGAACACGGAAGACAAACAATAGAATGCACAATTTATTGCCTGACATATTGTGCTGCATATCATCAGGGGCATTCTGAGCATTCTACACTAACAGTTAACTAGAATGAAGCAAACAAGTGAATCCTTAACAATCAAAGTAATAATGTAACCACTCTCAAAAGCAACTGTCTGTTTTCCTGGGGCAAGTGCAGATTCACTACCATTTCTTTTGAAAGTGGCTGAATTGTTTGTTTCTTGATTGTTGAAGCTTTATGTAAACCTTTTGGCCCAGCTGGTTCCAATTACTTTTCAAACACATATATCAAATGGTTCTTTCTTCCTGTACAAACAAGGTTGAATATGTTGTCTCTTCATCCAGAGACTGAATCAATGATTATTTCTTATATCTATTTAAGAACTCCTGTTGAAACTTGGATCCTTTAACCACGAGAATGAATCCAGGGGTTCCAGCATAAACAATGTATCTGAAACAAGAAAGTAAAAACAAGAATAGTTGAATGTTTCCTAGAGCAAACTGTGTTACTTTTAAGACTGACAACAGGCCAGTCAATGTAATGTACTCTTTTCAAATAACAATGTGATGACAGGCTAGTCAATGTTTCTGTATAGCCTTATATTATATTAACACAACAGAAAAGGTTGTTAATGTTTTTATAAATTTCAGAGGGGCAACACTAGGTGTTTCACAAAAGTTAAAGGTAAACACAGAGCATTTATCACCTCAAAGAGTGTTGGGTCATCATATTCCTATAAGGTAGAGTGACCAGTTTTCTTCTCCATCATCATTCTTTACTGACTCAATTCAAACACTGAACTGGCAAATTTAAAATCCTGTTATTGCTGAAGACTGAGTGCTCTAAACATGGCTTCATAAAATCTATTTGATGATTCTTTTTGAGCTACTGTGGTGGTTAGTGCTGTAGTTTACCAACAGTCCTAGGTCAAACCTTAAAAGTGGCTGCTTATTTAAAACGACCTTAATGACTCCACACCAAGGTGGACTAGAAAGAATATATGAGAAAGCATGGTGTTAGAAAGAGGGGCAGAGGTGGACCACAATAAAGATGAAGTGACACTGGGTAGGAAAGTGCATGAGGCAGTATCTCTGACGAGGGACCAAGTTTCTATCAGGTAGGCAGTGAAGACAGCGACGTTCTGCAAAGGACATGATGGTAATGGCTCAGGGGTCAACTTAGCATCATACATCAGATAAGTACCATTCTTTGAGGGCTGACCAGCTCAGGGTGTAACACATGGATTGGGAGCAAATGTCCAACAGAGCTAACCAGGAAAGCTAAAATCTGGACAGCATGGATGTTAGCTGAAAGGTGCAACAATTGCAGCTATGAATAAATAATAAAAATGCATTGACATCCAAAACAAAATTGGATAAACAAAGAAAAAAATGAGTATCTGAAAGTTCCACTGTGAAAATGAATGCGGTCAAAATATAGCAGATCATGCCACTTAGAACGTGTCACCAGGACACAGAAAACACAACTAACAACAAAAGATTCACATGTCCCATAGAGTATGCAAAAATAAACTGACTATCAGTGCTGAGGGTGAACGGAGAGTTTTTGCATTTTTGTTTGCATGTAAATATTAATGAAACATTGTGAATGCAAGAATGCATGGAGCTTGACAGGAAAGTGGAAATGTCTGACATGAAAGACACTTCAGGTGACACAATGAGTGGCACCCAGAGAATTGTGGGAAAGATTTTGATCTCTCTGGTCCTGAGTTGTCAAAAAAAAAAAAAAAGCAGAAACCCACTTGCAGTAAAATCCATCTTATTGTGGTATCAAAGGCAATGAAAGCAATGATGTTTTGGCCAAGGAAGGCAGCAGGCAACCACAAATTTACCAGCCACTATCTTTTCCAGAAGTTAAAACCCCCATTAGGAGAAAATCAGAAACAGATTGAGAAAAAAAAAAAACATAGGTTATAACGATTAAAAAAAAAGATTTCCTCAATCACATAAATAGAACAGACCAAGTCAGTTTTTCCGTTTATGCACTGGACACTGCAGACTCAGCAAACCCACATATAAATTAGGTATGAGCCAAAAAGCTCTGTGCCAGTGTGTTTGTGCAGAACAGACTCCAGAACATCTCTTGCAAGACTGTCCTCTCTTGGCGGAGCTGCGAAGCAACATGTGGCCACACCCAGTACACCTGACAACTAAGCTTTGGGGAAACATAAGAGACCTTGAGATGACATCCCAGTCTATGGCCCAAGTGAATTAAGCACATATCTAGAGGTCAGTGAAGAAGAAGAAAAAGAGATCTCTGGTCATAGACACCAGTGTAGAGACCCAGGTGGTGACATACAGTACCCAGATGAACTGCAAAGGTTAGAACATATCTATCTTGTTTTATGCTGTCTAGACATGACAGATACCTTCAGATTATGACAGACTAGTTAAATCTCCAGCATGTCAGAACTTTTAGATGTGTGCTGAAGAAAACAGTTTCAGTAACAATTTAACATCTGTATCTTAATAAACAGTGACAGTGTGCTGTAAGTTAGAGTTGTAGATTTTTTTTTTTCAGTGTCCTATGATCAAGAAATTGTTGAATTGACAATTTTAGGAGTCATCTGACAATATATATATATATACAATCTGTCTGACTGTCTGTCTTTCTGTGTGTGTGTGTATGTATGTATGTATGTATGTATGTATGTATGTATGTATGTATGTATGTATGTATGTATGTATGTATGTATGTATGTATGTATGTATGTATGTATGTATGTATGTATGTATGTATGTATGTATGTGTGTGTATAGTATATATATATATATTATATATATATATATATTATATATATATATATATATTATATATATATAATATATATATATATATATATATATATATATAGTGTATACTGGTATGATGATGATCACAACCAAGTGCTGGCTGGTCTATAAAATACAGGTTCAGCCCTGTCTGTGCAATATGCCTGAAGGCATGTAGAAGGGCTCTTTACTGTCTCTCTCATACACATATCTCTATGTGTGCACGAGCGCGTGCGCACACACCAACAGAACTATTACGGGGTTTGAAATTAAAACTTTAAAAGTGCTTCACTTTTGACATACACCATAGAGGAGCAGCATTCCGTTACGCTATTTTTAAACTGGTGAAGGTGTGACACAAATGGAATTCAAAGGGGACAAGAACCACAAGAAAACATGTTTTACTTTCAAACATATATTAAACTTGTAAAAACATATACTGCTGCAGGTGAAAACAGATATTCAAATTTATCACTGAGAATTACAGGAAAATTTGACATCAACTTGTCTTCAAAAGAACTTTTTAGCTCACGTGGCTCCCTAGTCTGACCTAATCATTTGCACAGGTGCAAACATAGCAAATAGCATTAACTAATGCATCCCATAAACAGATCACAACAAACAAGTAAAAAAAGTGACATTTATGGAAACTTAGACCCAATCAGGAGTGTCGGTTTTGTGGCTTCTCTGAGCGAAAGGATTTAATAACACTGCTTAACAATTAGGGAAAACAGCTAGTAACACATAGGACACACAGTCAACCCTGTCGCCCCGAGAAGACTGTATCTAATCTGCAGTGTCCTGTTATAAAAATGCGTAGTTAAATACCATTGGTTCTGCATGTACCTGCGTAGTGTTCAGGAGGCTAGGATAAAACATGTTAATTAAAAACGGCATGTATGGGGTTCCTTGTCAATCCAAAAGCTATTTTAAAGCCAGGTTGATTAAAAGAAATGTCCCGTAAGCCTTAGTGATAAAGATCATGAAGTTATGAGATCATGAAAATTAAAAAATGTAGATAAGTAAATTTGTTTTACAATTTTTTAATAACCCGTGTCCAACGTTTTTTTTTTTAAAAAGAGGTTTGTTGAGGAATTCCTACAGCATATTACCTACCTTTTTCTGTTAACATTGGTAGGACAAAAAAGTTATCATCTGAAGAAATACAATCAACCAGGTAAGTCGGTGAATGTCCCATAGTAAATTTCAAAAAGGAAGCAGGGGACAAGCTGGTAATGTCAGTTGTAAACATAAATAATGTTTTTCTACAATGACGTGAACAGCCAATTTCCTGATGATTCAGAAACAGGTGACAACACACTTACTTTTTATTCTGTAATGCTTTTAACAGTGTTGACTCGGGTGAGATCTTGTATAATCTTTCTTCGTCTTTGTGCTCAAAATAAATCTGAAAACGTTTATTCATAGGATATTAACTACCTTATCTAGTCAAAGAATGTTTGCGATAAACACATCTGATCATCTTCACTCTTGGCATATCACCAGCTGCAGTGGACATTCAGCCATGAGAATGTTTGCGATAAACACATCTGATCATCTACACTCTTGGCATATCACCGGCTGCAGTGGACATTCAGCCATGAGAATGGTTTTTTTTTCTTAACCACCTGCAATGGAATCAAACTCTTGTACATCAAGGGTTGTGAATCACGGTCACAAACTTCTATGCCACAGAGCAGTAGCGGTCTATATAATGTTTATAAAAGTAAAATGCTATTAAAAGATTCTCAGAATTCTTTGGAAAAAGAAGAAAAGAAGTACTGATATCCTAAAAGATCTGAACATCAAGAAAGATTGGCTAGTAAACAGCATCTTGTCTCAGAAACAGAAATATTTTGGCCATATCAAGCAACACTGCAGATTGGGAAAAAAATAATAGCAGATGGCATTTCACCAGGCCAACCACCACGAAGATGGGTGCAGGATATAAGTGATACCTTGGGTATAATAGTGTATGAAACTGGACAGCTGGTGAGAAACAATGTTTTTTTCAGGCAGGCTCTGATCAGAGTGACATTCTATCAAGGACCTACTGTTTGATTAAATGCTCTCAGCCAGCATATTCCAAGCTGTTGAAGCTTTGTTTCATCGACTGCTGTTCACTACGTTTTCTCACCTTATAATTTTTTCAGTCTCTAATACCCTTTCCACATATTAAAAGTTTCCTTCTATCTCTCTTTTGAAATTCTAGCCCATCACATGAGTATTTAATGCTGTTGACGATGTTTATTATTACCTATTAAAGATGTATGAATGAAACAATGTCTGAAGGGTGTGCAGTCAGAAGGGCATAATGTCGGACAGGCATATGTGACCAATTCTTAACATGTTGAAAATAATGTTTGTTCGTTCATTCCTTCGTTAGCTGTGGGGATTTCAGCACAAGGACATTCAAATAATATTTTTATTATGTGTGTCCTATCTATAACCCCCCTGCCTGCATTTAGTATGACCCTTAGATAAAACAAAGTATAGTAACATCATAATCTAACGTTTATGAGTGCTGATCAATACATGTAACCTACCACACTTGTAAGAGGTAACTAAGAAAGCACGGTCATGTGGTCAGATATCATGGGGGGTTGACCAATCTGCAGGCACTGCCTGAACGAATCCTCTAGAGGCAACACCTGTGGTCAGGGAATTACGAAGTCACTACATACAATGTGACTACTAATGTCCCACCCCCCGCCCCCCCAAATAATCTGAGGCTAACTTGCATAATACATGCCCAATGAAGCTGGATGTGTCAGCCGAAGTGCACAAATATTGCCACTATGTTGTAAACAGGCACAGTGCATTCACGTCACTTGGACGAACGATGAAGAAGAAGAAGGCTATTTACCGTATCTCATAGAAAGCTTCAGCTACAATAGCTAACCGGTAATGATCATGTCTAAACAAGGGAATGCCGTGCAAGGGTTATATTTTGGTGACCACATGGCATTCAAGCTGTGATGTAGCCAGGTTCACTTAAATTACCCCTTACTGAAGTCGGAAGAACTTCTAAGCATCTGAAAAGCAGTACTATACACTATGTCAGGGCTATTCAACTGGCAGCCCATGGGCCAAATCTAGCCCACATATGCCGAGCAAATGGCCCGATGATCACCTGCCAATACACGGTATTATTGATCTTTCTATGCTAGGGTTCGGGCCTCTGACCCATAACAATCCCCATTTCCAACATGTTGGCCTGTGAGTAGACTTAGTTGAATGGCTCTGCACTTAGTGATTACAGCTCTTAACTGATATTTTAGAAATATATACAGCTCTTAACTTCTCTATCTGAGCTAGGTGTGTACATTTTTGTGAGAAATTAAATAATCTTGCCTGATATCTATTTTGAAAGATACTTTAGGCACAACATGTGTGAAGTGCTAGAGCTATATTTTTACAGACCAGCTGGTCTACATCACACCAGCTGGTCAACATCACACCAGCTGGTCGACATCACACCAGCTGGTCAATATCACACCAGCTGGTCAATATCACACCAGCTGGTCAATATCACACCAGCTGGTCAACATCACACCAGCTGGTCAACATCACACCAGCTGGTCAACATCATACCAGCTGGTCAATATCATACCAGCTGGTCAACATCACACCAGCTGGTCAACATCACACCAGCTGGTCAATATCACACCAGCTGGTCAACATCACACCAGCTGGTCAACATCACACCAGCTGGTCAACATCACACCAGCTGGTCAACATCACACCAGCTGGTCAACATCACACCAGCTGGTCAACATCACACCAGCTGGTCAACATCACACCAGCTGCCTCTACTTCAAAGAACAGTTCCCAGTTCTCATTTTTTTTTAAGGCTGGATGGACCTCCCATAACATTTTATTCTTCACTTCAGTTATTTCACAACTAGAACATAACCATTTAGTTAAAAAAAAAATAAGGACATAATCAGTTACAGAAAGAACACAGGAACAAACCAGAACATGGAAAAGAAAGAAACAGTACAGAATAGTAACACTTAGGAAATAATCAGTGAAAGTAACAATTAAAACATACAGATATAGCAATATCTAGGACATAATCAGTAACAACTAGGGCAAGATGTGCTGTACTAAAGTGATTTTTGTTTGTTTGTTTAACCAAAGGTGTAAGTAAAATCCAAAGTGGCAAGAGTATTTCACTAAGGACCATTTCTCGTCATAAGCGCTTCAGGCATACAGTGCTTGATCTATCTTATTACAGATCAAATGGCACTTGATAGATGATTTGGTCAACATCCTGCCAGCTGCTTTTACTTCCTAGGACTTACCCAGTACCCATTTTAAGCTGGGTAGCAGAGGTGTGGTTTTATAACAGAGTGATTTGAATGCCTGGACAGATAAAACCAGTAATGAAGACATCTTGAAAGAAACTGACAGATGAAGACAATCGACTGCTTACATTAGAAGGAGACTACATTCTTTGGTCATGTCACAAGAACAGAAGACTGGAGTCAATCGTAATGGCGGGAAAGTTGGACAGAAAAAAAGGCAAAAAGGAGGAGTGTGAGAGAAAATGTAGGACAGTCTGACATCATGTCATGGAAGATCACCTTTGACAGTATTAGTTAAAAGAACACAAGTCTGTAAATAGATATAACTACCTACGCCACAAACTATAGGAAGAAGAGCATATCTTCTGAAACTGTTCTTTGAGTTTTTATTAATTTATATTTACATATCTTTTCTGGTTATACCAACCCAAACTGTAAAACAACAAGAAAGCAAACTGGCTAAATTTACTCATTACATTAGAACTCTGAATGGAATTTATACCTCAATACTGTCTGCTTTAAACTTATGCTCCAAGTCCCATGATGGTGGATCTACTTCAGGTCCAAACATGTGTATCAGATGATCATACAAGCTTTGATGTTTGAAAATGAGGAATGGCAAACAGGAATATCAATAACAACAATAATAAATATGGAAATTATAAAAGGAGACTACAACATGTGTAGTCAGAACATTGTGAATAAAACAGTTTCTGTCCCATCATTTGGAAGCTGCGGTAACATAGTGGCTGGACGCTTGCCAGCCAGCCTGAAGATATTGGGCTCAAGTCCACATCAAGGTGATATTTTTCTCTAAAACTGACTTTGGCTCCTATGTCAACACAATCTAAAATGGGTGCCAGCTAATGTCCAGAGCAGTAAAGGCAACAGCATGATGTTGGTTACATCACCCACCGAGTCTTAAATGCTCTATATAATATGAAATAAGCATTATATGATCGATGCATCATTGATGTGAAATAGGTCCTTTACTTGTCCCATATGTCATATGTCTCAATGCTTTCAGAGGGGTCAAATACTTGTGTCATATGTTGTACGTTTCAATGCTTTCAAAAAGGTCCTTCTTTAACTTGTATCATATGCCCTATATGTCAATGCTTTCAAGAGCCCTTTACTTGTGTCATATGTATCAATGCTTT